TCTTGTCAATACCGCCTCTCAGCTCACGCTGTCGGAGCGCAAGTTTCTCGTCAACTCCGATTTGGCAGACGAGTCCAATGCAGCGACAACACAAATGCTCCAAAAGTATCAAATCTCCAGAGTAGTGCTCCGTCAATGGCAGTTGACCGTCCAGCAAGAGCCCAATGCAGAGCTGGAGCGGGACTCAGTTGCTCAGGATGCAGCTGACGTGGAGACGGGTTCTAATTACACGCCGTCCAGTGCAAGTAGTCCGGACAGCTCCCAGTCCAGCCAAACCCAGAGACGAAGTTATCGCCACACTCCGAAAGTGCAGGCGAAGAGGGCTCACACTCTCACACCAATGGAGTGTGAAGTCATTCGCCAAGAAGTCCGAGCGAAAACAGACCGAGCACAGCAAGCTGTAGCCCGCCCGGCAGCTCTCTCGGCGAGGGAGGAGTCTCTGGCCGAAGCCAATCCACCAGTCCGCGAGGTATGGCCGGATCTGTGGCAGCAAATGGTGGTGATCTGGCCATCAAACGCGCAAGCTCCCTTCCCGTCAGAGAGCAGCTCGGAAGAGGAATGGATTCTCACAGCGAAAACAGAACCGACAAAGCTTTTGCATATGGTGCAGAGATTCGCATTCCCGGATGAATTGATGGCGAGTTTAAGTGACAAAATACTCATGGAATGGACAGCGCAATGGAGACGAGATTGCGTGCTGGCGAGTCTCATCGCGTACCGCAGTAGATCAGACGACAGAGGAACACTCAAATGGCTAGATGATTGGAAAGCACGCTTTGCTAGAGCACCGCCCCACAACTTGGCCCCGTTAGTGGACAGTCGTGATGACTGGGTAAAGTTACGCAGCAGGGGCTACGGACAAGATGAGATCCTCAAACTATGTGACGTAGGCAACAAGCGCTGGCTGGCCCAGCATCTCATGTGGGCCCTAATTTTTGAAAAAGAAATTAGAGCGATAACAGCACGAGAATCGGACAGTGAGAACGGTGCATTGACGCGGCTCCAACGACACTTGTTCGCACTGCGGACAGTGTCGGAGTTCCATACTGCGTATTCAGCGGACAACAACTCGGTGGATTGGTATGCCCTCGCGCGCTACATCTCCACGGCCCTGTAGCAAGGGAGGCCAGAGCGCGGCCACCCATATTAAGGGTGGCGAGGAGCCGCAGCAACCTCAAGCACGGGATAAGAGTGAGGTGGCTGCTGGGGACGCCTACGGGCGTCTGCGCGAGCCGGGGCTCGGTGCAGGGAGGAAACGAAAAGGAAGGGTAGGGGAGCAACGGTTCCAGACCCAGAACGTGAGAGGCTTCAAACAAGAGAGCCAAATGAGTTGGCTTCGAGCCTGGCGAAGAACGCCAGTCCGAGCAAGACCTGTGGCGTGGTTGCTGAAGGAAACTCATGTTAGTACAGACGAGGAGGTAACAAAGCTGAAGGAGTCTTGGCAAAGGCTGTGGGGTCGACACAACAATCCGAACGCACCTCAGCTCTCGTATTGGAGTGTGAATGCGTCCGAAGTAGGAGGTGTAGCGATCCTCCTGAACCCAGACCACGCAGAATTAGCAAAACCATGGAACATAGCAGAATGGAGCGCCAGAGCCATCGCTGTACGCGTCGCCGGACACCTGCTAGTCAATGTGTACGCTTCCAACGCCCCAACGGAAAGGAAATCGTTTTTCAACAGAATTTGGGGTTGGAACTGGCCCAAAGATGAAGTTGTACTAGCGGGGGATTTTAACTGTGTACAGAGTCCGCCTCTTGATCGCATGGGGGGGCAGACGCAGCCCCAAACCGGAGAGCAGGGCTCTACGCGATCTAATCACTGACCTCGACCTGGAAGACGCCGTCACCCTAGAAGGCGTAGCAGGAACTGATGACGCGGACCCAGACCCGACGGAATTTTATACCTATTGGGGAGCGGGCAGCGCCAGTCGGATCGATCGCTTTTACGTTCCGTCAGCTTGGACGGCAGACATACAGTGCGTGGAAGTTCGAGAGCCAGAAGTACAGTCCGATCATCAGTGTGTATGCCTGCACCTGCAGCATGACAGGATACAACCGAAGCAAGGAAACCGGTCAACACGGCGTGTCACGTACCCCATCAGGACTTCTAGACACACTGTGTTGCAACGGGAACTCATGAAGGAACTAATAGAGCAGGGAGTTGGCTATCAAGTCACGAGCAAGTCATGGGACCACGCGGCCGAAGCTTGTGTACGCAGCATTAGGATTATCCAAAAGCGCGAACGCAAGCGTCGAAAACGAATGAAACAACGGTTGAAAGCCCAAAACAGGGCCCACCTCCTCACCAGGCGGGGCTTCTTACAAGCAAATGAAGAAGATGCTCGTGAGGAACAGCTTGTACGACTAGGTCAGCGCCTGGAACGGACAATGGACCAACTGCGTTGGAATTTTAAGTGGATCTCCAACTGGGAGAAAGATCAATCAATTGCAGAGATTCATCACCTCCATGGAGACCGATTTCACAGAGAAATGAAGATAGCAGACAAATTTGGCTCTGAATGGAAACCAATCCTCGGAGTTGTTCATAGTACTGTTCCTCCAAACAGACTGCAGGAGGAATTCGACAAATTTGTACACATTCCTGGAGATCGGCAGATAACACCGCAACAAAATGAAGAATTAATGGCTGAAATCACGATTGATGAGGTCCTCGGAGCCATTGCCGAACTCAATCGACACAAAGCGGCCGTCCCCGATGGGTTAAACAATGACTTCTTCAAGGACGTTCAGCCGGTCCTTGCTCCAGCAATGGTAGTGATAGGAAACGAGTTACTGGCGGGAGCGGAACCGCCTCCCTCCTTCCTGGTGGGTTTGATTATTCCTCTCAGGAAGAAAGGAGACTCGGTAGATGCCATGGACTTCAGACCAATCTCACTTCTACAGACCGCGTACAAAGTCTTCATGAAAGTAATGGCGTGCAGGATGCAGAAAGTTATCGGTAAACCGATCGGCGACTCACAACAGGGATTCGTGCACGGTCGACAGATGATGAAGACTGTCATGATGATGCTGGCTGGGACCGCCACGGCTCGAGGAGAACCGGTACTCTCGGCATTGTTAAGTCGAGTTATTCTCCTTCTCGACTTCAGAAAAGCTTATGATACCGTCTCGCGGGAATTCCTGTTTCTGGCGTTACTAAAGTTTGGATTTTCAGTAGAATTTGTGAATCTCTTACGGCGGCTGCATGATGGCACAGCGGCAAGATTTCTTGTAAATGGAGAACTCTCCGAATCGCAGGCAGTTGTCTCGGGTATCCGTCAAGGTTGTCCAGTAGCCCCGTTACTGTTTATAATTGCGGCGGAAGTATTAGCACTGGCGATGAAGCAGGACACCACACTGAAAGGGCTGGAAGTCCCAGGAACAGGAGGACAGCGGCACTTATTCTCTGCGCTCGTAGATGACTCAACAGTATTCCTGCAGCATGCTCACCAGATCCCTAAAGTATTGAATATCGTAGAACGCTTCGGTCAACTCTCGGGTCTGCAGGTGCAACCAGCCAAAAGTCAGCTCATCTTCTTAAACAAGGCGATCGAAGAACACCAGTTCTTCGGCCTACCGGTCCTTCGAGGAGGTGACACCGTCCGATATTTGGGCTATCAAGTGGGCACAGGGCCGTTGACAGACATCAACTGGGCAGGCAGGATTCGCAACATCCAAAGACGGTTAGCGACGGCAACGAAGTTAAGAACAAGCATCGACCATTGGATCACCATCCTGAACGTCATTATGCATCCCTCGGTTCTATTCACAGCAGCGGCCTTCGACATGCCTAAATGGGCAGACAAGCAACTCAGGAATCTGCAAAAACAATTTCTGTGGAGGCATGCAACGGCAACAGAGAGTACCCGTCACAAGGTCGCTCCAGGCCTAGTCTTCGCACCTAAACAGGCAGGAGGAATGGGACTCGTCTCAATCCCCGTGGCGTGCAAGACCCAGAGGGTAAAACAACGATCCTCTGACTAGTCCAACGCAAAGACTCGTACTGGCAGGCGTGGAAGCATTGGATGTTCCGAGGGACATCACCTGCTTGGGAGAATACACTTACGCCCAGAAACAAGCTCACACGATCCTTGCACTCAGCGGGAGTATCACCAGGAGACAAATTACACCAGCTAGTCGGTGAATGTTTTCAACCCACCGCAGAGTTGGAAGGCGAGGCTATACTGGAATACCAGATAGCACTTAATGAACTAGAACTGGAATCGATCAGTTGGACTGCAGCGGGGACGTGGATCACCGAGCTACCATGGGAGCTCGGGTGTACACAACGCGAAATGAGTACACAAGAAGAACTCTACTGGCCGGCGTACACGTGGAATGACAACCCGTGGATTGTCGATAACCTAGGCAGAACCCTGAGTGCCAAGACGTTCAACCGAATCCAACCTTGCACGTTGGAAGAGCTTCAGATCACACGAATAAGCTCGAAAACGTACTCCCTCAGCATACCGGTCGCTGGGGAGGAGGAGCACCAACAGGCAAAGCGACGGAGGTGGGGTCTGGCGATCTTGATGAACGCCCCGGCCCTACCCATGGGAGCAACATTGGCAATTACGAAAGAGCTCACTTTACGACACCCGCCAGAACTGGAAAATGAATATCGGTGGGAGTTGCAACCGGACGGCCTTGCAATAGGCACGATCGTCGTGGGGTCGGCGGCGGGAGCCAGTATCACCTTGGAATAGCAGAGCAACGGACTAGCTTGGACTCCAGTTGGAGCAGATTACGGAAGGGAAGGCACATCAGCAGACATACGAGTGTTCCAAGCACTGGGAGCAGCAGGAAAGGTAGTCTTTTATGCTCACCCCAGCGTCCAGAGTTGTCCGTGGAATGTTCAAGAAAGTATCGCGAATAACCATGTGCTGAAAGCACTTAAGCAGCAGCCGTTTAAACGGTACCGCAATGAAGTAGAACAGCTTCAGCGACCAGTAGAGCGACTCCACGAGGTGGTAACCGGAAGCACCTGGCAACGCGCAGCGATGCACCAGACGCCAAAGCAAGTCTGGGCCCACAGAAATCAGCTTACGGAGTATCAAGTATGGGTAGCGTATCGAGTTGCGGTACGGCAGCTCAGCTTGTACCACGAAGGCAAGAAACATGACAGCAGTTGCAGAAAACCAGCAGCATGTCAAGGGCGAAAGGAAACGATGGAGCACATATTCTGGGAGTGCTCCTGCGCCCAGGCTTGTTGGGTGAAGCTCATCCAGCAGTGGACTGGGGAAGCATGGGAGCCCCAAAACATCGAGAGCTTCCAATTGAGCTGCGCGAACAGGAAAGCGCCTCCCGTAACGCCCTCATTAGTGGAGAAGATGCAGAAAACATACCCGGACGACATCAAGCACATCATACTGGAATGGAAACGCATCTGGCATATCCTGTGCACAATTTGCCTTACCAGCCTGTGGACACAGCGCAACAGGGTCGTCTTTCAACAAGCCCAGGTGACAGAGGACTCCAGTGCGACAGAATTTTGGGGGACGGCAATGCGTCAGTTGAGAGCGCTGGGGAAACGTGAATGTCGACAGCCGGAGACTCAATTGCGAGGAACTCATTTACTTCTATGCCTGCGGGTACTAGAACAAAAACCACGAGAGCACCCGAGACAGCGGGTGAGCCCCGAACAACCACTGGACTTGCAAGAGGAACCGGCGTTGCTAACCAGGCTTAGGAAGTACCAGACAGCTAGTCGTCGTTAAGACCAAATAGAATGTCTGCCTCTCTCTCTAACGCTACCCATCTATAAACCTTTGCTGGCACCACAATACATTGTGTTCGTCATTCATTGTTTGTACTGATTTTTATCTTTTGGAGAGTTTCCATGTATTGCAGTCTCGACAACCCGGTTGACAGCCTCCAACCCAGGGCATGGGATTTATAGCGCATAATATCCAATTTTTGATTATGGATGAGCTATTCGCCGATTTTGTTTACCTCGTTGCGCTTGGAAACTCATTTTCTATGGCATGTTGCTCTGCTTCTAATTTATTGTCGCAACCTTGACAATATCTCGTGGATCGCGGCAGTGACGCACCAGCCTTTCTCAGATAATACACGTATCAAAAGAAAGCAGCTGGTGCTGAATTTACATCGCTAACGAACCGTGCCTGACCTCGCAAGCTTCAAAAGAACCTGGGAGCATGTCAGATGTTGAAAAGACTGGGGCCAGCGGATTTACCTTGCTCGGGCATCCTGGCAAGGCATAGCCGCTTCCTTGCGTGTTGTCGCTGTCGGTGCGATTAACAAAGGTCATCGCACCAACAAAAACGATGGCTTCCGCCTCACCCTCATAGCCATCGGCATTTACCTCAGTGCCATCGTCTTACTGCTGTCCAATGACGTCTGGCCCAGCCCATAAGCATCTTAGTGCTGCTGTGCCACGGCCTTCGGGTTGACAGCTCCATAACCGAATTTTTCAGGATCCCCCTCTACAGTGACAGAATCCTCCGTAGCAACACCATCATCCCACCAGTGAACATGCCCCCCACCATGGCGACATAAACTAGTGAATAAATCATCCACTAAAGTGTCCCTGGCTTTCTCAACAGGAGCGTCCGGCTATTCATCCGACTCTCATAAGCTAATGAAGGTATGCAATCGCGCTACCAAACCACCCCGAGCCACCTCAACCACAACGTCACCCCACGCGCATACCAAACGGTGTACTCGTTTCACATTGCGCACCATAAACCCCTCAAACTATGATCGACTATTACTGGATTCTTTCCGGATTGTCTAAAGACATCAAACACATCGGGCTTTCGAACAATTCTCTCATCGATTAGACGGGATTAAAAGGCCCCAAACCTTTCCGTACCCCTGACGCTTGATGAATACCACATCACCACCTGGGCATTGCACAGGAGCGCCTTCTCGACTATGTCGACAACCAAAACGTCGGCCCAGACTGGAGTCAGCTTCGAACAGTGTCAAAGGTTTCCGGTGAATTATATGTTTCAATGGGAACGACACTTGCTAGTCGACGTGAGCAAATGAAGTGTGTTATAGAAATGTGAATTTGTTTCGAACCTCTCCAGGTGAACCTGTTTCGAGGTGTCGTAGAATGTGAAACAGTAGGTTCAGCTGTTAACGGCTTTCTGAAGAGTGCAAAAGAGAGAAGTCATTACAGATCGTGCATATACCGTACTATATGAGACTATAATATTCTGCACGAATCTCCAAATAAAAACGCTTGTGAAATTTATTACAGCGCAAGCGTGTCATATGCTGGGCTTTTCCTTCTCTTTTACCATGTCGCACGCTACCCATACAACATGCAATGCACAATCCCAGGAACATAATTCGTAAAAAGTGCCAGGTACCGTATAATTGTGAATACCACGGTTTGTTACATATATTTACCCGTTGATGTTACACTAAAACAAACTCGTGCGCAGCGGATTACATGTCTGCCGGCGACTGCAATTGCGCTGAAGGTACGGCAGACATTTATCTATCACTGAGAAAAACGACCTGCGTGTTAAAAAATTTCAAGCCGAAGGCCGAATGACCTCTTCATAGACACCACGTCATAGAAGAAGAGGGATGATTTCTAGTTCTTGAAAAAGCCACTTAGCTTTATTGCTTATTTGTTTGTATCGCTGCAAACTTAGATTTGGACTGTTTGCTACTGTCAAATGCATCATGCTTCTGGTCTTATGACGACACAAGGGTGGCCCCCATTTTTGTGCAAGGCCTTTTGGAGCACTGCCGCAATGGGCTACATGCTTTCTAAAGCGTGATGACCTAGCCATTCGGCGCATCATACGTTGCGGAACCGAGCGAAGCATGAATCGCAAGATACTATTATTTCAATAAGATTTAATAATTGTTCTAAGCTTCTGCTTGGTTTTAGAGTGTAGACGAAACGTCCATTCGCGCGGTTCACGCTGCTGTACTCTAGTTTCTGATAAAAGGTGTGAACCAGCAACGGGAGCTTGTTTTGACGGTCCCTTTAAAGCTTGGCATTGACTACATGGGAGCATGTAGCGTCAGTGTAGTTTAAGGAACCTCTGTAAACAGTTTAAGCTGTACGCTGCTGCTTAGTGCATCAACAACGGGGGTTAAGAACCCTCCATATACTATTTCAACAGCATCCCTGGTACGAAGGTACGGACTGAGGTGAACTCGGAGACATTCGGCTCACCAAAATGTGTGCATGCTGTCTATCGCAAAGCGGGAACGTATCACAAAGCGTGCTGCTTCACGTGGCGGCGCAGCCTGCTCAGTCGTGTGAATATCGACTTAGAATGAGCTCCAATATTGAAAATGCGAAATGGTATAAACTTGAGTGATAATCCTATTAACTAATGCATTTGCGTGTCTATCGATCATGTCACCTCCTTGTGGCGACAGATAGGCTACACAGGCTCATTTCAGAATTTTTGATATGGGTATATATTTAAATCATGTCAGGTAGTTAATAAATTTTCGGTTGTAGGAAATTACCTTACCCCGGTGAATTTTGCCCTAGGATATAGGACAAAAATCAGTGATTATGTGGGAAACATAACGTCTTTTGTCCTAGCACGCCCGTGGTAGAAAATAATGACTTGTAAGAGAGGTTTCTCATGGCTGAAAATGCTTGATGACTTTGATGCCGTAGTAGGGCTTCAGGTTGCACATCCTCAGGATAGGTAAAATACCCGACTTTGCATACATGACCACAATAGCTTGTTCTACCCAGCAGCATTGTCATAAGAGTGCAGCAAACGTTTGATCATTTATTATGACCTACGACAGCCATAACCGGGGTTAAAAAAGGGACCATAAGAGAATTTTAGATTTAAAGGCAGGAATAAATTGGTTACATACTCAATCACTCAAACCCCGCAAAAGTTACCTTAATTATTCGGAGGGCTGGCTTAGGATAGATGGGACGAATTTAAAATGAAATGCCCCCTGAAAGATGATACGCGTGAAGTCAATCGATTTTTAAAGAGATGGCTGTAAAATATTTTAACAGCCTTCATTGCAGCATCAACGATGCCACACAACTCGACAATTATCAATGACGCCTTAGCAGAGATCGCTGCGGTATCCCAAACTAAGGGGCAAACGAGCCCCTAACTGGACAACTAAACGGTTAGGCGTCAGAATAGTTTGCTGTAAGTGCAGCTTTTGTGTTGCTTCAGCTTGCACGAAGTAAATGTCATTACAATAGCAGACAACAACCTTTCTCAAGCTAAGCTTTAGGAATCAGGATATCCTTGATAGGTTCGCGTCTTAGAGCGGTAAGAACTTGGACTGTTTTTCGGAAGCCCCATTAATGGTACATACTTTTTTTTAACCAAAATTACAAAAACAAATATGAAGAGGCCAATTGGAAGCTAGTCGCAGCACCCCTCCCTTGGCATGCCTGGGGGCAGTGCAGAAATCGCCTGAAACACTCGTGAAGTGGGTACAAGGTAAGACGAAAGCCCACATTACTACTCGTTTTTAGAATATCCAATTCTTTCTGTGACTTTTAGAAACGGCTACTGGTAATAAAAGGAATCAAAGCATTCAGAGTACTGGAATCGCTTGGTCGATTGCCTTGGGCATTATCCCGGTTTGAGAGGTCTCGCTGTTGGTGGGTCTCATCTGGAAATGCCCGAGGTGCGGGTAGCCCCCCTCGTAATATCGGTGCCGAAGCAACGCTACCTCGCAAAGCAAACAAGGAAATATGTCAAAAGCCATGCGGCTAATATACCCGTCATGCGCACTTGCGACTTCATTGATCATTACTTACCAAATAAAGCCTAAACGTAGAGCACCAGCTACCACTTTTCCAATCAAGAGACGCGCTTGTTTGTGTTGAAAGTAATTTAGTTTCTTAGCTAACCCTTTGGGCATAACAGCACCTAAGGCACTCTTAAAGTGATTTTGCAAAGGAAGGCACCGAATTAGGTCGTCAAAGGACGCCTGGTGCCCTTTTTTTTGCAAAAGCTCGACTGATTCTGCTCCGTCTATAAAAACATACGACAAGCTGAGCGATTCGTAATCCAGCACACTGTAATTAAGTTGTATTCCTACATCATGATACATCATCAATCTATCTTCAATGATTTGTTTCAAGAAATGGTACCAAACATATACAGCGATCTCGCTTAAAGGCGCATGGGGCGCTTTTACGGAAATTGATATATTATATGTGTATTGTTTACTCAAGATAAGTATATCACGAATCGGTTAAAATGTGGTTCTAGCTAGCTGCACTTTTCATTCACCACACAGTTATCGTAAGCAAAAACCTCTCGTGATCGCCCCAAATCGTAACTCGCACTTATGCGTCTCGCATGTAAATAACCCCCCTCCGAGTCGTGCTGCATAATTTCGTCTTCGGTAGAGTTTTCATCTTCGTCATCACATAGTATGTCGGTCAGGGCGGGTAACGAGTCGTTTTCGTGACGAATCCAAAACATTGCAAAGCAATACATGCTCCAACGGCTACAAGCACCTGCTCGCTATGATTATCAAGCCTCCTGCCGAAACGTTTTGAAAACAAAAAACATTTTAGAGCTCCGAAACCAGATTCAACAGCCAAACGTGTCCGCGAATGTTTGTAGCTGTGGATTCTATCTCATTTGAAATTCTGGCATCATGCTCAAAGGGGGTTAGTTAATATGCACGCAGCATGTATCCTCCATTACCGAGAAAGTGGTGATTTCTGGGTAGAATAGGCTTCACATTCAGCCCGGTCCAACTACTTGACCAAACG